GCCAACCCAAAAGCGAGTGAATGCGATTGCAGCCTTGCAGGAGAGAGGATCCACAGCAGGAAGCCGCGGGCTGCGCTGCACGACGCCGCGACGCAGGCCGCAGACCGCAGGCCGCAGGCTACCTTGGGCTAGCCTGGCTCTGGCTGGCCCCCTGTCCGGGATCCCGTCGCTGGCCGGCCGGCCGGCGCCAGGCAGTCAGCGGCTGCGCAGCGGGCAGCAGGCGCTACAATACGAAGAAAGAGCTCGATCCATCGGCCGCTGCGGTCTGTCGTCGTTCTGACCTGCACCGGAATGCATGCCACGAGCAAAGCCTGCCATGGTACGGTACGGGGCGACGGGCGACGCGTCGGTTCGGGCCGCGCGTGGGCTATGCTCCGGGAGCCCGAGACACGGGACTGGCATCGGAGAGGACGCAGACGGCCGGCCCGGGATGGTCGCCGCCGACGACTGGGCTGCTTGCCGGGGCCAGTTTGATTAGTGCCGATGGCAGAGTCCGACCTGACAAGACCTTGTTTTTGAACAAGTGGAGCCCGCCCTTAAGCGCTTCGAGACCGAGGCCATGTTGAGATTGTAAGTTTTTTCACTCTTTCTTCATCATATTAAATCTTTGATATATGTATGGAGTATTAAATGTACATAAAAAAATAACTAATTACACAGTTTAATTGTAAATTACAAGACGAATCTTTTGAGTCTAGCTAGGCCATGATTGGACAATAATTGTCAAATACAAACGAAAATGCTACAGTACCCGATAATGATTCCTAACGCTCATCTAAACAAGGCCTGAGAAAACGCACGCGTGCTTGTTCAACAGGACTTATTGCTGCTGTGACTGATTTGTAGAACTGTTTTATTGTGATAGAAAACACTATTCTATAGTTAAAAAAAATAAAATTAGCTGATAAGCTCAAACGAACGGGCCTCTGCTTTGAAAACTCCGTGCCTGTACATGTCTCGGATGGGCTGGGATAAATGGGTTTTAACAAGGCCCGCGTGTTTGGCCCGACCCTAACTATAATGTGAAATGATAAACTTTATTTTGTGAACGTGAAACGATAAGGTTTACTAGCACAGCAGCAGCAGACAGTGCCATTCCCCTCAAAAAAAAAAAAAATAACAGACAGTGCCACAGTGGCGGCATACTACACTGAACTTTGGATTTTGAGGCTACTGTAGCACATTCGTTTTTATTTGGCAAATAGTGTTCAAACATGGACTAATTAGGCTTAAAACGTTCGTCTCGTAATTTCCCACCAAACTGTGCAATTAGTTTTTCTTTTCGTCTACATTTAATGCTCCATGCACGGACCGTAAACATTCGATGTGACAGATACTGTAGCAACTTTTTAAATTAGGGTGGAACTAAACAAGGGCTGAGATGTTTATCATCTGCGAGTCTGGAAGCAGTAAATGCTCACATTCTGCCGCTGAGGTGTTTCTGCCTTTCTGCAGTTCTCTGCTCCTGCCGTCTGCTGCTTTCCTCTCGTGTCTAATGTCTTGGCCCGGCCGGGGCCGGGGCCGGGGCCGGCGGCCGTCGTCGGGTGAACACACGAGGACCACTCGCCGATCGAGGCACGGAGCAGCAGTACGTGGCGGATGGAGCAGAGCAGAGCTGAGCGGCCGGCGCTGGCTGGCCCGTTTCTCCGCCGTCGTGTCGCTCGCTCGTCCTCCACTCCACGCCCGCCTGTGCTGCCCCGACCGCAGGCGGGTGTGTTTGGTTGTGTTTGTGTCTCAGGCCTGGCTAGCAAAATAAGTCTGCATAGGATAGTAAAAAACCAGTTGTTTAGTTTAAGTCTGGCTATCTAAGATCTTGTTTGGTTGACAGGCAGGCTGGTTCTGGTATAGCCACCTCATCTTTGTTGGGGTGAGTTTTAGCTTCATCACCGCTCACCTCTCATCCTCTGTTCATGTTGGTATTTTATCGAACAGCTAGTGCACACACCGCCCACCAACGCGCTCCCTGCCCGTCGCGCTCGTGTCGTGTGAATCGAAGCCACAACACGGCGACATGGAAACCCACGCCATCATCGCTTAGCAGAGCAGAGCTAGCAGAGAGATGGATTAGAAGAGGGAGATAGATTATTTGGAGGAATCGAAGACCAAGACGTACACTACTCTTTGTTCGGTTCAAGATTTCAAGATTGTTCATGGGCTCCTTGGACACAATCAAACGCGTACGACTGTGCTGTGGCTGAGGCCTGCCGCCGTGCCCCTCCCTGCACGACGATGACCGAGATCCCACCTTTCCCGCCTGCACGCGCACCAGGAGGACCCGGACCTATCCAGCGAATCCTGCCTTGGACGAGGAAGCCAAGGACCCTGCTCGAGGCGAGGATGCGGTGACGAAGGGTGCCTTCGACGAGCGCCATGGACCTCCGCAGCGGTGACGAACGGTGCCTTCGGCGAGAAAGGCATGGACCCAGCGAATCCTCCGGCGCACCAAGACCTCCGCAGCGAACGGTGCCTTCGACGAGCGCCGCATCCGCATCCGGCTCCGGGGCTTAAGCGGTGGCGGCCTGGCGGGGTCCTTCGATGCTCCAGCGGCGGCGAGGTGGGAGCGAGATGCGCGCGGTGGTGGGGAGGTGATCCGATACGGCGAATGGCTGGACGGAGCCTGGCTTATGGGGAACGGCCACCCCGGCGTTTCCAGGAAGGCACATGTACAGAGTGCATCCAGGAAGCCTTAGCCCCCAGCCAAACACACCTTGTAAAGCTCCGGCGACCGGCGCAGACTGCCACCGCTGCCCTCTCTGCCATGACCCCGTTCCTCACCAACGACGCAGTGAACGGCGACACCTGTGTAAGTGAAAAGCGTGTGGGGTTGCCAAGCTATATGTGCTGGGCTTGGTGACGAGCGAGAAAAGCCCACGAAAAGACACAGCCCAGCCCGGTTGTGGGTTTGGAGCCGAGCCGCCCATCTCCAGCACCTCCGTCTCGTTTGCCGTTGTCTCCGTCTCGTTCGGGCTCGGCAGTCGGCCCAGGCGTGCGGCCAAACCCAGCAACGCAGAGGGCCTCTAATAAAAAGGCTACAAGAATGCAAGTCTCGTAGGAGGATGTTTTGGATTGGATTATTACATGGACCCAAAGCATGTGCTAAAATAAACTAGAATGACATGCCATTGCGCGGTAGTAATAACGCGCAAAACATCATCGACGGAAGAAGGAAAGCCAAGTTAGAGACTACTACAGTTTAATCACGAGGCACATGCACTTCCTCCCATCAAAAGTACAAAAACAATAATTTAGATTAAAATTTTATCATTTATAAGTACTCCCCATCCAGAAAAAATGCAATTCTAGCACAGTGTCATGGCTTAATATCTTAAATTTGATCAATTATAGATAAAGAAGTATCAACATTTATGATATCAAATAAATATCATTAGATTAATTACGAAATGTATTTTCATAATAAATTATTTTGGAGCCGTAAATTATTTTCACTAGAAATTTAGTCAAACATAAACCAATTTTAATGGCACGCAACCCGTAGTTGTATTCTTTTGTGGACAGAGGAGTACGTCCTTATAACACACAGGTCTACTATGCATCTATAAAGACAAAAAATGACACCTCTTCTATAAGTTCCAACATAACACGCTTAGCTCGATAGTACTGACCATTATCTCCAACGATGGTTGAGTGCACGTATGCTGTGGTACACCCACCACGTACAGTACGCCGCAGCTACCGACCAACGCACCAGTACCGTATGTGAAAGCAAGCAGGCGGGACGGATCGAGTCGGGCAGCACAGGTGAAGATGAGGTGCGCAACAGTCCAGGTGACCGGTCCGAGAGTCCGAGTCAGCTTGCGTGCCAGACTAATTAACGGGATCGAGTTGCGTGCACGTATTTCCTCTAATAATAACAATGCGTACGTGGCGTGCCCGTAACAGGAATTACTACTCCTAATGCTAATTTGCCTGCATGTTTGGCCGCGTAAAAACAACCGAACAATGTTAAACACTCCTAGTAATAAGGCAAATATGGCCAAACACGAGTTACGTTTACGGGTTTGGGACGAAATATCGGAAGTTCCGTGCACGTATTCCTTCCTCTAACCATGCGGCGTGCGTGCCCGTGATATATAAACTGATAATATCCCTACATGCTTGGCCTCGTAACGTAAACACCACGAGGTGAAGATCGGTTTCGGAGTACATCATGTTTTGGACGAAATATCTGTCGGGCCGCACTATGATACAAGTACCTACGGTAGTCATGGGACTTTTTCTTTCTTTGCGATAACCACCGTACCATCATCTTTTTTTCACGAGCTCCCACAACATGGTCCTGAGGTCTTCCCTGAATATATTTATTTAGAAAATGCCACAAAACTACCCCCTATTTCACTCCATCTGTTTTCAAGGTTAGAGTTTTAAACCTTGACCATGTTTATAGAAAATACATCAATGTTTACAGTATTAATTAGTTTCTTAGATGCTTCATGTCATATATTTTGGTATTTTATTTATTTATTTGAACTTGTAGGTGTTAGTAATATATTTTCTGGAAAAGTAGTTAATTAAAATTAGAAAAACGTGACTCACAAGGAAGTTGAAGTGACCTATAATTTAACTCCTTCGCAACCATTATTTTTTTCTCTCCTGAAATCAAAATTCTAACTCCTTTGCGAAAAGAAAACTAAACCAAATTCCTAACTCAGCTCGTCTTTGCCTGTTTGGCACCTGTAATTTTCACACCAACTATTACACTGAAAATTGCACTAGTGCCTACTGGCTTAAGCTCGAGCACACGTATCATTCATAAAACATGCCAGGGTCCTTTCTGCAAAAGAAAAAAAATGCTCCGACTCCGATCATTATTTTATTTATTCACTGGTAAAGTGCAGGTGCAGTGGAGGTGGAGAGCACACGCCCCTCCAAAATTTATGGGACGCGAGCACACCAGCAAGCCCCACGCGAAAAGGTGAGGAGCGCACGCAAAACCCACTCCACGGTGGGAGATCGCCGAATCCTTATCTGCTGGCCGCGCCATGGCCGCCGCCGCCGCCGCGGTCGCCCACCTCTCCGTCCACGGCCGCCTCCGCCGCTCTCCGGAGCATCGTCCGTCCACCACCACCACTACCACCACCTCCTCCTCCTCACCCGCCCACCGGCCGTCCCTCCTGCGGTGCCGCGCGTTCAAGCAGGAAACCGACGGCGGCGACCGCGACAGCGACCCGTCCGAGCACGACGCGCGGAAGCGCAGGAAGGGCCCGCTCTACAAGCTCAAGGCGGCGATCCAGGGCCTCGCGGGCTCCCGCTCCGCCGCCGCGGAGGTCTACGGGGGAGAGCACCAGTACCAGCGCGCCGTCGAGAAGGCGGAGGAGATCTTCTTCTCGGTGAGCACCGCACCGGCCTCCGTTCTGTTTGCTGCTCTCTATATCTCACCTGAATGATTGAAGGAATACGAGACGGTTCGCTGAATCATCGGCTAGCTGAATGCCGTGGCCAGGTTCGCTTCCCTGTGCCTGGCCCGCCTGCGAGCGCGTCACACTCACAGTCAGAATTACTCCCAATCAGAGGTTAAACGTGGGCTCTCATCTGCTCCACATCCTAATATCTACTTGATCATACAGCGTGGCCCCTTTGTGGAGTTAGCGTTTTTTCCTCACAAACCATGTTGGAACCAAGTTTCTACACCGAATTTCCATATCCTTCGTTCGTGCCTCTGTTTGTGCCGAAACTTTGCTTTTGTAAATTGCAGTGATATGTTGTGCAACTCAGCAACTGCATGGTGAACTAGTTTGAATAGCCTAACCATGCTGGAGTACTGGTACTAGGAACGCAAATAAAATGCCCAGTGCCTGCTAATTACAGTCAAAGTGCCTTGGCTATACAAAATTGTGGCAGCGTGAACAAACAAGGGTTTGCTGGGTGTTGCTACTGCTAGAGTTTCTGCATTGTACCTGTTCGATTGTGAGCCTGTCAAATTGTCCAGAAACCGGACATATGATTCAGGCTTGCAATGGACCATATCAAGTTGTATATCAACAGCTCGGATCACATTTTGTTACTCCATTTCTCCTGTGCAGCAGGGTTTCTTATGTGCTTGCTGATTGCTATCACCTTTTTGCAGGTTGCTACTCAGCTAGGCAGATATGCTATCACTATGATGAGCAGTGGTGTTGTACTTGGGGTTGGATTTCAGCTGTCAGGTTTGTCATACACTTGTATTGCACTGCCTCTGTTTTCTGCCTCTCTTTTCATTTCACATTGGTCTTTCCTGAAATTCCATTTAACTAGTCTGACTAATTTTTCCCCTTCTAGGTGGAGACAGCCAAATGAACGAACTGATTTGGTATAGCTGGCTTGGTGGGGTGATTATCGGTACAATGATAGGTGCAAACAGTGTCCTGGAGGAACACTGCAAAGCTGGACCTCGCAATGTCGTCATAACTGGGAGGTAGTTTATTTTCATCCTTTGCTCCGTATGCCTTCAGAATATTTTTCCAGGAAGTAGTATGCACTTTTTCATTTATCTTTTGACTTGTCCTATAAGAAAATATTGCACAACATATTCTTGATACTCGATAGCAAATAAATTCACTCTAAGAAACAGAAACTGTCGAAGCTAATGGATTTTCTCTAGTTGTGTAAGAAGGAAATAAAGTTTGGCTGTGCTTTCCAAGTTTTGCAGTTTCACTGGTTGCGACCATTGGATAGGTGGTTTCATATTGTTGTTTCCTATTTGGCGATTAGCATTGACAACAGTTTTTTATTTAAATTTTCCAGCACAAGAGGGTTAGGAAAAGCACTTGCTCGTGAGTTTCTTCTTTCTGGAGACCATGTTGTAATTACTTCACGAAGGTGATATTCATGAGCATAAGCTCAAACTTTAGTTTAGTTCTACAAATTTTCATACTTTTTCCTTATGGAGTTCTATGCTTTGTGTTAGTTTTAAATATTTTCTTTTTGTGAAGGCAGTCCTGAATCAGTCCTTCAGACTATAAAAGAACTTGAAGAGAACATACAGGAAGGGTTATCAGTAGCCAAAAAGAAAGAGAGGAAAATTTTATCCCATGCCAAGGTTGTTGGTACAGCTTGTGATGTCTGTAAACCTGAAGATGTGAAGAAATTAGTGAATTTTTCTATTAATGAGCTTGGCTCAGTTGACATTTGGGTAGGTAATTTGTTACTGTTTTCTAGCTTAAATCTGTATCTTATTTGTTACTGTTTTCTATTAATGAGCCAAGGCTTTGTTGTTGTTGTTGTTGTTGTTGTTGTTGTTTCTAGCTTAAATCTGTATCTTATTTGGATTTTGGTCTACCTTTTGTTTTCACTAAACTGAATAGCTAGTCAAAGTTGGATTATACTGATTATGGACTACGGAGTTTATAACATTTACATCAGTTGTGAAATGTACTTTTATATATGACAACATTAAGATAAATTTTGTGGTGCCCACTTTTATGTTTTCCTGTACGGTAATGGTCCTATGGCTACATCAAACAACAATATTATTTACTGCTGCTTCTTCAACCTTGTTCACAGATAAATAATGCTGGCACAAATAAAGGTTTTAGGCCACTGGTAACCTTTTCAGACGATGACATCACCCAGGTTTGTTATTGTTATATCCTGCTGTGCCTAATACGTTTTTTTATGCGTGTATTGAACAGATGACCTGGCTTAACCATGCTATCTTATTTCCATCTTTTTCATGTTGTTACAGATCGTCTCAACAAACCTAGTTGGCTCTCTACTGTGCACCAGAGAAGCCATGAATGTCATGCAATACCAAGAGAAAGGAGGCCATATATTTAACATGGATGGAGCCGGTTCTGGAGGATCAAGCACACCACTGACAGCTGTGTAAGCATCTTAGCTTTCTAATACTCTGTTGCTTCTTTATAGTTTATACTGTATAAATGTTGTGTTGCTTTTTTTTCTTGTTGGCTAAAACTTGAGTGTGCTGTATTGGAATTCCTTATGTTATGAAGCTAAATCCGATGCTGAACTCAAATTTGTAGCTATGGTTCAACTAAATGTGGACTAAGGCAGTTCCAAGGATCACTTCTGAAGGAAAGCAGAAGATCAAAAGTTGGAGTGCACACTGCCTCACCTGGTATGGTCCTCACAGACCTTCTTTTAAGGTAAACTCTCCATACTTACTAATCAGTTGTCATGAGATGACTTGTAAAGCTCACTGTAAACTTTCTATACATTGACTGTCTGATATATACTTATATTACATTTGACATGGCACAAATGTTCATGATGTCTAAACTGCAGGGTATCGTCTAACAATTGCAGGACACAGTTTGACTTGTGTGCTTCCTTGCATACATATGCATGGCACATCAAACACCAAACCGTGTAGATGTTTCTGAGATTACCTCGGCACAGATCACATAGTCTGGTGCTGTAGAATATACTATTCCATAATTTATGTGAACTAATTGTTTTTCTCTATTTGAAATTAATTGGTGAGATATGTTCGAGTTATGAGTCTGATACGCATAAATAAGCAAATAACTATGATAACAGAAAGATCAAACGTGGCTTTATTAGTTCTTGTCTAGTTATGCTATATGTGTAAAATGTGAGTTACTTCTTTGAGTTCTTTCTCACAATATTCATCTATGATCTGATCGACCCTCTTACTGTTGTATGTGGAATCATAATTCTTCTTCTTTACTGATTACCTGTTTCTTTGCAGTGGTTCATCCATCAGAAATAAACAAATGTTCAATTTAATATGTGAGCTTCCAGAAACAGTAGCCAGAACATTGGTTCCAAGGATGAGAGTTGTAAAAGGAAGTGGAAAGGCAATCAACTACTTAACACCACCAAGGATCTTGCTTGCTTTGGTTACTGCATGGGTTCGACGGGGCCGATGGTTTGATGACGAGGTACACAGATCTTATTTTATACTTACTACTAACTTACATATAAGAGTTCAACAAATCAATGGTGTCAATTGTCCTAGATTTAGCTTTTAAATATAAAAAATTAGCAGAAAATGTGATTGAATGATTTTTTGTACTAGTCCACCCTCTATACATATTTGGAATATTGCAGCTCAGAAGTCAGAACATTGAGTCCTTATGCTTCATAGACTTACATTCCAAAAGATAGAACGTCGAGTTCTACAACTGCTAAATGTCTGAAGAACAGTTGGCATTTCTTTATATTGGGTTTGGTTCTTCGACTTCAATCGTTTCTGGTTGTTATTTTCTTCATGTGTTATTGGTTTGTTTTTGTCATTACATTTTGATGAATGCAGCGTTATTTCTCGGCTGCACGAACTCTAGATTCTGTATCCAGCCTGTTACTCCTCATGAGCAAAACCCACCTCTTGAGCACTCCAGCGTATTCTAAAATAGAAAAAAAGAACTTTTTAACAGCTATCAAATTGTGTGTGGCTCTAGGATTGGACCAACTAGGTGGACCAGTATCATGGCACTTTAGGGTTCAGCATGGGTGATAATGATGTGCTGTCAGGCTTGTTTGCCTCTCATGTGTATATTCACTATTCAGTGCGAACTGAAGTATGTAAAAGATATTGAATAGCATTGTAGTTCATTTCTCAAATCTGAACTAGTTTTAGTTGTGTTATAGCCACACGTCATCCAAGGAAAACATTAGCTGCCTGTACCCTCTTAACTATACAGGGATTATGTTGAGTCTCCTGCCATAGCATACTTGATATGCGATGTGAGGTGTGCATTGGCGATAATTTGGCTTGTTCGCTTGAACTACTTTTCAGCCGAGCCAGCCTATTTCAGCTTATTCTCTCTCACAGAACACTATTGAATCAGCCGAAACCAGCCGGCTTATATACCAGCCGAACAGGCTTAATGAGAGATTTGGTCAAGCACTAAAGTTTATCTTTTCGCTGCATAGTGCCTTTTGTTATGCTCTGAGTTATATGATCAATCATTTATCCATTACAGGGGAGAGCAGTGTATGCAGCTGAGGCTGATAGAATTCGCAACTGGGCTGAAAGTCGAGCACGCTTCTCTTTCACCGATGCCATGGAGATGTACACGGAAAACACATGGGTTTCGGTATTCTCACTCTCCGTGGTCTGTGCGTTCATTATTCTTTCCAGCTCAGGTGGACCTCTTCCAGGCACATGATTTCCAGAGTTGCCAAGCTAGTAGATGGTCATATACTCAATTTTTTCCCCACCAAAGGCATTCTACTATCGGAAGGCATATGACACAACACTTATGAAGGGGGAAGAAGAGAACCCCCACAAATGTAGATAGGTGCAAGGGAGATTAGCAGCTGCTTCCTCGCACCATTTAAGGTTTGGCTAACCATGTGCTCAGAGAAGGGTAAATAGAATGCTAGACTATGATAGTATGATCTGTGACTTTGTTAAGAGCATGTATGCAAAGTTAACTGAGCAGGATCAGAGTCGACATTGCCTCGTGTACATGCATGTGGTAATGATAATCACTGGAACTTCTGGTCTCGCTTGTACCCTTCAAAACTCTAAATAGTGGTATATTGACTGAAACTGGCTGAAAAACACTGTTCTGGCTGAAAAACACGGTTCTGGTTGAATTGTTGTGAGAGAAAAACACTGTTCCGGCTGAAAAAACAAGCCGAACAAGTCGAATATGGGGTAAGCTGAACGGGGTCATAGAACCATGTTATGGTTCGTCTATATTGGTTTTGCATCATAAGAAACCAGGGGTGCTTTGTGGTAACGTCATGGGTCAGAGGTTTGAGAATTGAGATGTGTATGTCCATTTCATCTTTTAGATTGCCAGGGGAGAAGGGAGCTACAGAAAAAGCTTGCAAAGACTTGATTGCCACGGGAGCTAAACGCAAAAGCTTGCGACGACCTGGATCTTTGCATGCTCTCTGGTTTCTGAATTGCTATGGATTCTGAGTTGATGAACCGAATTCCAGTTTGTAACTGCAGCTGCTGAGAGGGAGGGACGCTATAGTGGGGAGTAATATGACACTATTTTTAGGAAGTTTGCAGAAAATATCTGATAAAGCGTAGTAGTACGGGGGAAAGGTGTACAATGGATGCAACTCCCCTAAAAGAGAAACCAAGTACAGATAAGGGTAGGCACTTGTCGATTCTTTCCCCTTTTCCTTTCTGAGCATGAGCACTAGCACTCAAGCTCTTCCAACCGATGGTGGTTGGAAGTTTCGTTGAACCTTCCTACCTGCCTGAATGTTCCAAGCTCTCCAGGGCCTGTTTGATATAGAGCCCAGGGGGTGACCTGCGCTCTCCAGCTGCAACCGTGGTTGTTTGATTTCGGTGGCCCATTTACCGGCCTGGCCCTCCAGTTGCAAAACGCACTCTCTCTTCTATACCTGGGGAAACGCTCCTAGGGTTCGTTTCTCCTGAGCCAGGCTCTCTCCATCCTCGCGCGGGAGATTTCGGGGCGGCGGCGGCGGCTCACGCGGGCTCGTGCGGGAACCATGAAAATTCCTCCCCCGCTCCTCCTCGGCGAAATCCGCTATCTATATAAGCCTCCCTCCTCCCCCGCTGCCTTCTTTCTCCTTGCTCTAGCTCCGTCGTCCCCATCTCTCCCCACTGCGTTCGCGTTGAGTGACCGGCGGTGTTGCTGTGGTGGTGGTGCGGCGTGGCGGTCTTCTTCCTCTCCGGTCTTCGTCTCCATTTAGTTGGCTGGGATCCACTTGACCGCGGCGCTGCTGCGCTTCCTGTCGGGCTCCATGGACGCGGTCGTCTTCCTCCTTCGTCTTCTCCGTCTTGCGGTGGTGCGGCTGGTCTCGGTTGGGGTCGATCTGCTTCGCCCTGTACCAGATCTGCTACTTCTTCACCGACGACTCTTCTTCTTCTTCGTATTGCACTTCTTCCGGTCAGCGTCGACTCCCCCGAGGTGAAATCCACCCCTAATCCCCTTTGCTTTGACTCTAGGGTTTGGTCTTGCCCTTTTTGCTTTCGATTTCTGTCTGTGGAATGATAGTTTGGGTCCATGATGCTGGTCTAGTTGCTATGAATGGTGATTTGGAGCACCTACACATGTATTCTCTATTTTTGGTACTTTGATATGGTCGATGATGAATCTGTCCGCATTGGAGGCATTTTTTATGCAACCGTGCTATTTATGTTTGTAGCTGCTTTAAGTGTCTGCTAAATTGTTAGTTCTTTGATATGGTCGATGATGAATCTGTCCAATGCGCTGGAGGCATTTTTCTTATGCAGCCGTGCTATTTTATGTTGCTATGAATGCTTATACTATTATGTTGAGGCCAGCTAGGGTCTACTAGAACTGAGTTGTACATTTGATTGTTGAATGCATGTAGATAAAAACAACTGAACAACGTGAAATGATGGCCAGGTAAGCAACTGCCATGGTTGTGGTGATGCTATCTTTTTTGGTCACTTGACTTAGAAGAATTAGGGCCCAACTTAAGCCTGTACCTTATGGTCCTAGGTCTTTATGCCAGCAACATAGGCTAGGAACCCTCCAAATAATATTTAACAGCACTGATGCTGAGTGTCTGGCTATGTTGCGTATGACCAGAACTCTCTCTTTTCTCTCTATGCAACCTTTTTAGAGGTAGAGGACTTGTTCCAGAAACCAGTGGGTGTTCTGTTGAGGAGCAGGTTGCAATGTTCCTCCATGTGGTTGGTCACAACCAAAGGTTCAGGGTAGTTCACCAGTCATTTAGGAGGTCCATTGAGACAGTTAGTAGAGTCTTCCACCAAGTTCTTTATGGTGTTGGCAAGCTTAGAAATGAAATGATCAAACCTCCTACCACTGGCACAGATCCAAAAATCATGGGTAGCCAGAGATGGTACCCCTATATACAGGTACTTGTTAACCCTGTTTATCTGCCTTAGGTTTAACTAATTGTACATGTATGCACTTATCCACTATCCTAAATATTTTTAGGACTGTGTTGGTACCATTGATGGCACACATGTGTTGGCAAGGGTGCCTAGACACATGCAACAGGCTTTCAGGGGTAGGAAACACAACCCCACACAAAATGTGATGGCTGCTGTGGACTTTGATCTCAAGTTCACTTATGTCCTAGCTGGCTGGGAGGGCTCTACCCATGATGTGCTCATTCTTGTTGATGCAATTGACAGGAATAATGGGTTCACAGTTCCTGAAGGTAACTGAATTCATTAGTCCATACATTGTTGTCCTTTAACTTGCCACACACCTTCACTGTAGTATATGTTTTGGTCCACTTGTAGGGAAGTTTTACCTGGTAGATGCTGGCTATGCTTGCCGCACTGGTTTGTCCCTTACTATAGGGGGGTGAGGTACCACTTGTCTGAATATGGGAGCCGCAATTATCCTAGCAATGCCAGGGAATTGTTCAACCTAAGGCATTCATCCCTTAGGGTGATAGTGGAGAGAGCTTTTGGTGCACTCAAGAACATATTTTGTATCCTAGACAACGAACCATTCCACACATGCAAGACACAAGTCAAGCTTGTACTGGACTGTTGCATTCTCCATAATTGGATCATTGGGTTTGACATTGATGAAGTAGTCCCAGAAGAGGAGGGCTTCCTAGGCAGCCAGCCTGAGGCTGATGAAACCTAGCCTATGAAAGACATGTTGTCCCAGGACTCCACTGGCATGTCTAATAGGAGGGATGGCATTTGCAATGCCATGTGGGTTGGTAGGGGTACTGCTAGGATTTGATTCATGCTTTCCATTCATGTATGATTTTAGTTTGTAGACCTTGGATATGGAACTCATGTGGTGTACTGATCATATGTAATAACTAATGGACATGACTGAGACCAATCTGCTATTATTTTTATGATGATTCTGTTATCATGGACATGACTAAGACCAACCAATTGTACATCTTTTATCTGTTGTTCATCTTCTATGTCTTGTACATCTTGTACCTGTTGTTCATCTTCTATCTATTGTTGATACTTGGCTTCATGTCATGGATGGTGACCTTATTAGGATGGTGCACCTGAGATTGTGGATGTTGGGGCTGATGCACCTAAGGCAGTCCCTGCCCAGGGGGTGCTGGTGGTGCCAGGCCCCCCATGAGGTGGAATAACAACACCTCAGGGTTTGTCCTTAGGAGGATGTCCCAGATAATCTCTGATGGCAGTAGGACTGACAAGTGCTTCAAGGATAAGGATGTCAACTTTGTGGCTGAGGCACTTAGGGAGTATAGTGGTGAAGCTGTCAGCCCCACTCAAGTGTACAATCACTTGAGGAAGTGGAGGCAGAAGTGGGCTAGGGTGTGCAAGTTGAAGGACCTTAGTAGTGCACTATTTGATCATGGTGTCAATGCCATAATGTTAGAACCTGAGCACTACCTAGGCCACTGCAAGATAGAAACTGAGTCATTCCACTGTTTCTCTTCTTCCCTATTTCTCTTGTAGCCACTATTTCTCTTCTTCCCTGTTTATTTAATTAAGCACACATGACTGCAGGACCACTCTAAGGATGCTGAATTCCTTAACACCCCTATCAAGTTCTACACTGAGATGGAGACCATATTTAGTAGTTCTATGGCCACAGGTAGGTTTTCCCTAGGTTCCAGTGAGCCACTTGGGGTGAACCAAGCTGACAATGTTGCTGGTAAGATAGAGGGCCATGGCTTCGCCACTGCTGCTGATGTCAAAACCAGCACTGAGATGGGTGAGGGCAGCAAGGCAACTGACCTGCTCACTTCCACTGTTGGGGCAAAGAGAAAGAGGGCAAACTTTAGTGAGGATGAGATGCTCATGATGACTAACATGATAGATGCTGTCAACAATGTGGCCAATGCACTTAGAGAGACTGGGCCTGCGCATGTGGATCTTACAGTCATGTCGATGCAGGGCTTTACTTATGAAGCTCTCATTGTTGCCTACACATACATGCTGGAAAACAAGGCCCTTGGCAGGGGCTTTGTGAACATGGCAGACAACCATAGGAACATTTGGCTGAGGAACTACCTTGCCAAAAACTACTATATGTAGTTCAGTCCATCTAGGATAGCCAGGCAAAGAGGGGGATGATAGTTGAGATGTATAGTTCCTCCACCTTCCCCACCCACTCTCTTCTCTTTTGGGTTCTATTTTGGTGTAGCTCCTGTGCATGGTAGATGGCTGACCAGCACTTGTCCTTTTGGGTTTGCTTAGTAGGAGGGTGGCTAACTATATCTGACCAAGTGTAACTTGGTAGTGGTATTTGTGCCTACTTCTTATGTGTTGAACTGTTGTTTGGAGACAAACTTGATGTATTAACTAGTAACCTCTTTTGGTTACTGCTACTGCTAGTTTACTCATCACTTTATTTTGCTATTGTTCATTCTGTTCTTGCTGCATTGAGGGGATTGGGTTGTGGCCTATGATGCAAAGATATTTAACACTTATGAGGTGGCTGTACATTTTCATATGCTGGTTCTTGTTGGTTTTGTCATGGGTGTCATCGAACCCATGTGACACGTCCATTCCCTTTGCAACAACATACTATACTTATGATGATGGCAGGGAATGGACGTGCGCACAGGTTTCATGACCTTCATGAAATTGGGGTTCATGTACAGCCACCAGTGATTAAGTTGAGATTGTAGCAGCACAATCTAATGCTGAGACAACTTTTATTTAGCATGAGTTGGTGCCTAATGTGGGTTCTGATCTGGCCTATGATGGAAACTGTGAACAAATATATGAGGTGGTTGCACAACTGTATGCTATACTTGTTTTTCATGGCTTCTTGTTGCTGGTTTTTATGACTGTCATCAAATCTATCTGAACCATCCATTCTCTAGCAACACCAATTGGCTGATGGCAGATAATGGATGGCCAGATGGGTTCCTGGCCGCCTTGATCTTGGGCTCTTACTTCTTTGCAGTCTGAAACTTGCTGTTTTTACATGTGTAGCCACCTGTGATGATTACTTACATGAATTGCAGCACCAAATTCTAAACCTAAGGCCACACGTTTTTTTCTAGCATGTGATGTCAAAACTTTGCTTTCATCAAGATGAACCACCTTATCGGTGTGACATTTAGGATCATGGGTTGTTTCTTCTCTCAATCCCAAGATCTTCAATGCCACACTCATGGCTTGTTTCATGTTTTGCATTTGACTGAGGCTAAATAAATTTATGATTTCACAGCAAATGGCCCCTTGCTATGTGATTTTCACTGGGAAGAAACCTGGGATTTACAATACCTGGCATGAGTGCAGTGAACAAGTTCTTGGGTTTAAGAAAGCTAGGTTCATGAAGTACAAGAATTATGATGAGGCAGTTAGAGATTTCAAAGCATCTCTGGGAGCGGCAACTCCCCTCCTCCCCTCTCAGCTGCTACCTGATGATTGTTGTCAAGGTATTTCTCCTGTTGATGGTAAGTCTTGTTGTTGGAAAAGTGTGGTAATCATCTCATTGCTTATTGTGGTGATTAGACTATGGATAAAGGTGAGCATGACTGGACAGTGCAACTACCATACTTAGGCCTGTGATGACTAAGAAAAGATGATGGATGAGCTGCCTCAGTTTCTTTGTATTTCTCTAATCCATTTTTGTCACTGTTGGTTGCCTTGTTACCATGTCGATGACCTATCTGGTTGTTGGATGTTCTCTATGTCGATGATATGATGCAAACCGGTTCCCAGGGGAACAAAGAACAGCAAGGCGCAGCAGCATGTGAGCACGTACGTATAGTGCTCACAAGATTGAACTTGTGGATCGTTTGGTCCACATCGGCTGCAACTGCAAGTTGGAGGGTTCTCTCTTTTATAGTGAGGTTGAGGACCGCAACGAAGTGGCCATTGTTAGTGCTGTGTGGAGCCTGCTTGCTGCGTGCGCTCGATGGATGATTTCATGACATAACAAAGTTACAAACACACGCGCGCGCATGCATGCGAAGACTGACGCGGAGAAGGAGATGAGGACTATTCATATAGGCGCACTAACATAGCTATAGAAAGCTTAAGCTAATCATGAGGAGAGACGAATGATGTACTTTCGCTGTACTAGCTAGAGTATATGGAACAAGCTTTGAGAAACATAGTTACATACACATCGACAAAGGTTCAGTGTGTCAATATGCAACGTATCCATCATTGTTGTTAGGGTTTGTTTGGAGCTTTAGATCGATCCATGCTGCTAATTGTTAAGATGCTAGTACTACTAGCAAGGGAAGCTAGCTAATACTTTCCCCGTCCATAAAAGAATGCACCTATAGAAACCACCCGGATCAAATTAGTTTAAGTTTGACAAAGTTTATAGTAAATAGTATTACCATTTATGTCTCCAGATAATTTTATTATGAAAAATATAATCTATAACTAACTAATGGTACTTACTTTGTATGAAGAATGATAGTACCTTTTTTATATAATTTCAGCCAAAGTTCATACTGCTTGACTCATCGAAAAGTGAGAATTGCATCCTTTTGTAGGTGGAGGGAGTAGCATTTTATTTACGACGCAACTTATAAGGTGCTTTGCATAACTTTGATCACTAATTTGACCAATATTTTTTAATTATTGTAATACAAATTTGATATTACTATGTTTGTAGTAAAACATAGTATCCAATAATCATAAGTTTATAAACATAAACAATATAATATAAAATAACAATGGTCAAAACGATTTAGGAGGCCATGCTATGTCAGAGTATGCCTTATAAACTGGACCAGGAGAGTAGTATCCTGTTTGGATGCTCAAGCTAACATATAATATATATAGTCAAAAGTATTTAGCTTGGGGAAACAAGTTAATATATTCCTATTAGGTAGGAAGTTGATTTTAACTGATCAGATAAAATATTACTCCTAGTTAGGGTATCTGCATCTACTCTACTAGTTTTAGTCGCTAAGATTAGTAGGCGGGCCGGGATCTATGTATACCAGGGGATTAATTAGGTTTTCCGCAAAGGTTTCACTCTATGATCCCAATTCCCAATCATTATATACTAGCTGACGCTGTGATGGAAATTGACACACTAGAAAAATGCACGTACGAATCACATGGGGAGAGACACGAGAAGGACATCGCATAGAAAAATTTGGAGCCGAGAGGGATGATTCGGATACAGCGCTTGCTAGAAGGATTTGGCTAGCTGCGTGATGATGTAGTGGATTTGGGCGGTTTGGGAGGTGGGGATTGCGGGGCGTGTTAGGGTCCGGTCACTCGGACCCTAACCCAGCGCCGATGATTTTTTCCATGCTCCAGCTGGTTCCCGTCCGTGTGCCGATAATTCCCGGGTTGTTCCGGTCCGTGCCGCTTCGAGGCTACCAGAGAGCGCGCGCTGCAAACTTCTTTATTTGCAGAGGGTAGATCACGTGATAGCACTGTTGCCACAAAAAAAATTATTGAAAACTGCTCCTTGACGTGCATGCATGCTCCGAAAAGAAAAACACGCTGAGAATATACCTACGCAAGCATCTGCACAAGTTTTAAAAAGTAATAACTATTAAACTAAACATCCGAATTAAATTTCAATTACACCATCATGTTCCCTGCAATAAATCCTTCAAAATAAGATCTCACAAAATAAGATCTCACATAGATATTTTTAGATAAAATTTTATAACGAACATTTATCTTGTGAAGATAGAACAATTTTTTTATTGAGCAGAAGCAATGTTCTAAGTTAAAAAAAATAATGTTCCTCCTTCATAAGAAAAATGTTCTCTATTTACGAGAACAATATTAGGTTCATTGAATTGGTATTATAATAACCACGAAAATAAAAAATAATAACAAAATAAAAATAAATAAATAAATACATAACGTAAAGAAAAATAATAAAATCAGAGCAAAGCATAAGGAAAAAAATATGTAATAGAGAAAAATTTAAAAGAACATCACTTAGATACTTTTCAAACATGCTATAAAATACTATATAACATCACATGTATGCTAAGTGAACATGACTAACTACACCGTAGAACATAACTAAATACATTATAGAACATCGCATATATATTATGTGAACAACATTAAATACATCATAGAACATCATATGTATATTAAGTGAACATAAAAAAAGCACCATAGAACATCACATTATACTACATGAACATCACATGTATATTACGTGAACACAAAAACATCTAGAACATCATATGTATACTACGTGAACATGACAGAACACAACATAGAACATTAAATATATACTACGTGAACATCACATATATATATATAAAATAAAAAATAAAAAAAATTATTGAAACAATTAATTAGAGTAAAACAATAAAGAACAAAGATACACATAAAAGCATGATTAACAAATGATAAATATATAGAATAAATAAAATAAATGAATAACTTAAATAAGGATGAACATCACATGTGTGCTAAATGAACATCACTAAATACACCATAAAACATCACTAAATATATTATAGAACATCACATATATATTACGTGAACATCACTAAATACATCGTAGAGCATCACATGTATAATAAGTGAACATCACAAAAAATATCATAAAACATCATATATATACTATGAGAACATCACATATACATTACGCGAACATCACAAAATACATCATAGACCATTAGATGCATACCACATGAACATAAAAAAACATAACAGAACATTACATGTATAACACGTAAACATCAAATAAAACATAGAGCATCACATGTATACCCATGAGCATCACAAAAAATAACATAGAACATGATAAAAAATAATAAGAAAAGAAAAGAAATAAAAGAAATAAAAGCGCTTCGTTCCGTCAGAAGTTAGCATTTATCTTGTACATAACTGAATTTGGATCACAACTCAACAAACTCTACCTTGAGACAAACTCCTTGTAGCATAAAACGAACCTTCACCCTGAAACAACAAAGAAATACTTCCGGTACCAAATAGCCTCTTGGGCTAAACAGTTATACCAACTAAGCTTGAGCAAAGCTCAAACTTAGCAACAGGAACTGGCTTTGTCAACATATCAGCAGGATTATCATGTGTGCTTATCTTGCATACCTTTAGCTTACCTTGCACAACAACATCGCGAACATAATGGTATTTGACATCAATGTGCTTCGTTCTCTCATGGAACATCTGATCTTTAGTGAGACATATAGCACTTTGACTGTCACAAAACAAATTAATGCAAGAATCATCTTCACAAAGCTCAGCAAACAAACCTTTCAACCAAATCAATTCTTTACATGCTTCAGCAACAACCATGTACTCTGCTTCAGTGGTAGATAGAGCAACAACGGGCTGCAATGTTGCCCTCCAACTCACAGCACAACCACCAATAGTGAACACATAACCTGTGAGAGATCTCCTCTTATCCAAATTGACAACAAAATCTGAATCCACGTAGTCAGTGAGTCCCTTATCAGTCTTGCCAAACTTCAAATAAGCATTTGTTGTACCACGAAGGTACTTGAAAATCCACCGAACAACCTTCCAATGTTCTCTACCAGCATTAGCCAAGTATCTACTAACCAAACTCATAGCATCTGATAAATTAGGACGAGAGCAAACCATGGCATACATCAAAGAACCAACAACACTAGAATATGAAACTCTTGACATGTACTCAAAATCCTCATCCATACTAGCACATTGTAAAGCTGATAATTTAAAATGAGGAGCAATAGGAGTACTAACAGACTTTGCATCATGCATGTGGAAACGATAAAGAACTTTCTTAATGTAACTTTGCTGACTAAGAAATAACAAATCAGAATTTCTGTCTCTTGTAATCTCTATACCTAGAATTTTTTTAGCAGCACCAAGATCCTTCATCTCAAACTCACTACTCAACAATTTATTTAATATAGTGATTTCTTTCTTGCTCTTGGTAGCAATCAACATATCATCAACATATAACAGCAAGTACATAGGTGATCCATCAATAAATTTAATGTACACACAGCTATCAAATTCAGACCTCTTAAAACCATGTGACATTATAAAAGAATCAAACATTTTATACCATTGATGAGAAGACTGTTTCAAACCATATAAGGATCTCTTTAATTTGTAAACATGATCCTCCTTATCAGGTACTATGAACCCTTTTGGCTGGTCCATGTATATCTCCTCCTCGAGCTCTCCATGTAGAAACACAGTCTTTACATCTAACTGCTCAAGCTCAAGATCTCGCATAGCAACAATATCGAAAAATGTACGAATTGAACTATGCTTTACAACTGGAGAGAACACATCATTATAATCAACACCAGAAATCTAACTGAAACCTTTTGCTACTAACCTTGTCTTAAATCTTGGAGGCTCACTACGAGATAAGCCCTCCTTTCTCTTGAAGATCCATTTACAATGAACGGCCTTTTTTTGTTTAGGCAAGCGCACAACATCCCATATGCCATTTTTCTCGAGTGACTGCATCTTCTCTTGCATAGCAGAAATCCACTTCTCGCGGTCACCAGAAACAACAGCTTCAGTGTACGTAGCCGGCTCATAAATGTTCTCCACCTGTTCAGCACAGCTAAAGGCATAATGAACCATATCACATTCCTCAATTAAACGTGGACGAGGTCCACAATTCCTCTTTGTTCTGTGATTTGCAATAGACTAATTTTGAGGCTGCAAAACAGGAGGTGAGTGCTGAACAATATCATGAACATTGTTATCAACAATTTTAGTTTCCTGATCATCTACGTGCTCCACCTGCAGCTAACATGTTGCTGCTCCTCATCAGAACCAACTGGAGAAACATCTGTGGACAAACTATCATTAAACATAACAGATTCATTGAAAACAATGCTCCTACTCATGAAAGTCTTTTTAGTTTTAGGATTCCATAACTTATATCCTTTAACTCCAGAACCATAACTAAGAAACAGACACTTAATGGCTCTAGGTTCTAGCTTTTCATTATCAACATGAGCATAAGCAGTGCAACCAAAAACTCTCAACTGTGAATAATCAACAGGCATACCAGACCATACCTCAATGGAAGTTTTTTTATTAAGTGGGATAGAAGGTGACCGGTTGATCAAGTAACAGGCGATGTTAGCAGCCTCAGCCCAAAAACGCCTGTTCATACGAGCATTTGACAGCATGCAACGATCCCTTGAGATGATGGTTCGGTTCATGCGCTCAGCCACACCATTTTACTGAGGAGTGTACGAGATGGTGTGGTGCCTAACAATGCCTTCTTCCCTGTAGTAATCATTAAAAGCATCCGAACAGAATTCACCGCCATTGTCAGTAGGAAGCAATTTTACCTTCTTTTTAGTTTGCCTTTCTATCATAACTTTCCACTCTTTAAAAGTAGCAAAAGTATCATCTTTATTTTTTAGAAAATAGGGCCACACTTTTCTAGAGTAATCATCAATAATGGTAAGCATGTAACGAGCACCATCATAAGAGGTCTTACGAGACGGCCCCCATAAATCAGCATGTACATAATCAAGTGTACCTTTGGTGATATGAATAGATGCATTGAATTTTACCCTCTTGTGCTTACCAAAAATACAGTGCTCACAGAACTTTATCTTACCCACAATGCAGCCATCTAGCAGGTCTCTCTTGATCAATTCTGTCATACCAAGTTCACTCATATGTCCAAGACACATATGCCAGAGATTAGTCTTACTTGGTTCATCATTAGAAATAGTAGCAGCAGTGATGGAACCATGTAAAGTACTTCCTCTAAGAACATATAACTTTGTAGAATTCATATCACCTATCATATGAATGAGAGAGCCTTTTTGATACCTTACACACTCCACCTGAACCGGAGTGTTTGTACCCCTCGGCATCAAGTGTGCTGAGGGAGATGAGATTTCTGGCCATCCCTGGTATGTGTCTCACATCTTTTAGTGTGCGTATCATGCCATCATGCATCTTGATCTGAACAGAGCCAATGCCCACGATCTCACGTGGGTTGTTATCTCCCATACGCACGACATCTCCACTATGCGTAGACTTGTAAGAACTGAACCAATCTCTGTTAGAGCATATATGAAACGAGCATGCAGAATCAAGTATCCATTCATCACGACTAGCAACACAACCAGCAAGAACAACAAGAACGTCTCCTGAATCAGAACTATCAGCAGCGAAGACAACAGAGGCCTTACTATCACCATCGGATTTGTTTTTTGGTTTATACGTACCATTTCTTTTCTCCTTATTCTGCAGCTTCCAACAATCATCAATGACATGAGTATCTTTCTTACAATACCTGCAGAACTTATCCCTGCCTCTAGACTTCGAACGACCTTTACCGTTCTTGCTCGGGCCTGCCTCTAACCTGCAACACTTCGCCCTTGGAGGACGACACGTCAGACTGAACCATACATTTCATCTTCTCCCTCGTCTAGAGGGCCTCATATACTTCCGCAAGGGTTAGTTCATCACGGCTTAATAGTATGGTATCTCAGAAATTTATAAATGAACTAGGCAGTGAGCATAACAGCAGAAGAACTAAATCTTCATCATATTTTACCTCCATCGACACTAGGTCGGCAACGATCTCCTTAAAGATCGATAAGTGGTTCATCACCGAACCACCTTCTTGCAGCTTGTGCGTGAACAACTTCATCTTCACGTGCATCTTACTGGTTAGATCCTTGGACATGCAGATCAATTCCAGCTTAAGCCAAAGTTCTACGGCAGTTTTCTCCTGCAGCACTTCTTGCAAAATATCATTATGTAGATGAAGTTGAATCAGAAACAGAGCCTTACGACCCTTTCGCTTTTCTACAGCGGTCCATGACTTCTGCCCTTTGCCTCTAAAACCATCCAGCGCCTCATCAAGATCCGAAGATTGTGCCAGAATCGCCCGCATCTTGACTTGCCACAGCGTAAATCTCGTCTTGTAATCCAGCAGCGGTAGATCAAACTTCATCGATGCCATCGTGAAACCCTAATGTGAAACCAAGCTCTGATACCACTTGTTAGAAACGATAGGCAATATAAACAACGAAAAACAACAGATCAAACACAAGGGACACGAGATTTTTAACGTGAAAAACCCTCCCAAGAAAGAAGGAAAAAACCACAGGCACCAGCCAACAAATATTCACTATATCAGGTGAGGTTATAAACGTCGGGGATTTATAACTTTTCTTATCCCAAGACAACGGTTTACAGAAAGTATATATAGAGATGGAAAAACCCTAATAGGTGATGATCCCAAGCCTCCCAGCGACGGGTCTCGCTTCGCTCCGTCAGAAGTTAGCCTTTATCTTGTACATAACTGAATTTGGATCACAACTCAACAATTGGCACTTCGATGCCCCACTGCTCCCTTCCAGGCAACTAGAAGGGATCTCGTGCAAGGTGTCTTGGTGAGTGGATTCCTTAGGCAGGCGGCCATGGTGTCCCGAGATTTACCGCTCGGCGAGGTCATTCCTGCTCGTCCACAATGTGGTGCGGCAGCCCCAGCTCTTCCACTACCTCAAGGGATCCAGGTGATTTTCCTCCCATTTTACTCCTTGCGCTAGTACAACAACATTGACCATGACCCCAGCTGACGTTAATCATATTGTTCTTCTCATTTTGGGAGGAAGTGGTGCAGTAGCTATGGAGAAGGAAGAGGATTAGGGAAGCTTATTATTGCCAGCTACCGTGAGGATAGGTAGGGCTCCTGGTCACTACGATTTTGGAGACTGTGGAGGGGTTCAGGACCCCATGCTTGGGGGCTGCTTGCTCGATGGAAAAAAAGAACAGAGAAAATGGAAATACTTGGTGACAATTTATTTTACAATTGATTTTTTTGATTATTATCTTATGGTAATCCAATCATGCTTATGTAGATCTTTAGAAGACATCCACATGAATTGCATTTGCATCCATGAAAATATGCTAGCGGCTTCATAGTTGTTCTACAGGCAGTTGGTAGCCTAATGGAACCTTTAATCATGTGACTAGAGATGTTAAGTGCAGTGGATATTTTGGGAGAGCAGCAAGCTTTTGGTATCCACCCAGGTTCTACCTTTTTGAAGCTAGCAGATACACTTGACCATGTGAGACCTGTGGAGCACATAGTCTAACGCAATTGTAATTATGTTTATTAGGGGTTTTAAGCCACAGTGGATATTTTAGAAGGGGCTGCAGTAGTCTTATATCTGGCCATCTTGCTTACTATAGAGTTTTCACAACCATATATCACTTTTCTTCTTCCTAGTTCATTAGCTTCCTTTCTTATGTGCTCATCAGCTTAACCTTGGGGATGAACTGATCTAGGAGGTTACAGGTTGAAGGGCATTGTGAATTTGTGATGCGGACTGAGTCTTATAGGTTACAGGTTCAATCTCCATTTGCGGTGTTATTTGTTTATTGCAGACAATCCATCTCTCCTCTGCTCCTACCGCTGGCCCTGGCGGCCTGCCCTCTTGTTGCTAATGCCTCTCACTCAACTTGTCCTACATGCCGAGGTAAGACTGGTCTTGAGGTTCTCTAATTTTATTTGTTCATTAATTTGTTAGTTAAAGGAGGAAGGTACTCATATGATCTATTGTATGGGAGATGTACCTATTTTCATTGACTTGTCGACTGAGGAAATAACTAAAGATTTCTGGTCTATTTTATGAAAGGAATGAATTCATGTGCTACTGTATTTTTATTTGTGAATATAGATATCTAATATTTAATGTGTTTTCAACCAGAGTGTAAATGTTCAGATATTTGTGTTTCATTTCCTGAGGAACTCCTTTTTTCTAGATTTCGAAGCATGACATATTTTTATTCAGATTCCTAGATTAATCAAATAGTTTTTTTTCATAGTGGCTCGATGGATCACAAAATCCACGGTTGCTAATGCGAGTGCCCCCTTTTTCTTTTTTCTAATAAAAATCTCACGGTGGGGGCTTCCCTTGCTGCACATTTTTCTCAAAGAAAATGCGAGGCATTTGCGTATGCTTAATTTTTTTAGTAAACCTCTACAGGTCACAAGAGCACAACACTCAGACTCTCGGAGCAAGCTAGCCGTCATTGCCCTAGGCCCAAATAATTTATCCCTAACCATAGTTGTGCATTTGTCCAAGAGTGGATGTTGTTTTCCACATCTATTTTCAATTTCTTGGTCCCAAAATTTCATCCATAAAAAATAATTCTCCTTATTCAGCTACTTCATTATGATAAATTTCTTGGCCAACAAATTTTCATTTGTTGCAACCATAATCATTTTCTGTAATATATGTTGCACAAGTCTTTATAGTCAAAATCTTTTAAACCATAAAATTGTATTAATCAAATCACTAACCATGTAATCCACGTTAAAAAAGTATAACAAGTGTTGTCATAGATTCTATTGAGTCATCACCAACTCATTGTCATATATTCTATTGAGTCATCACCAACTCATTAAAACAGTAGCACCTAACTATAACTGTCATAGATTCTAATTTTTCACTACTAAATTGTCTCCATGTTGAAAATGTGCACCTCTGAATTTTTAGTTCCCCTGCACACAAAAATTCAATTGTTTCGTGCCCAAAAGATCATCTTTTACTAAATGTGTCATTTGTTTCAAATGTCATACGGGTATTTTTGTTCAGCTTATGTTCAGGAATGGGGAAGAAACAGACTTTAAGGGATTGCAACGCATGACCATCATGTGATCTGCATGCTATTACTAATTGAATTCTGGACTCAAACATGTTCTCATGAGGTTAAAAAATTGTATATGCTCTGAATTGTAAACTCAAATTGAATCTTTTCCTTTATTTTCATCCTTTTGTTTTTGAGATGTCTAAATGATGAAGTGATGGATTAGTTTGTTGTTTTCTTTTAGCTGGATGGCTTGTGATTGAAAGTGATGGAGTGGGCAATGTTTGTATCTCTGTTAACCCATCCCTGAGTAAAGTGATCAATTGCATGCAACTTTCAATAATGGATTGCTTTTAGTCAGTACCAGTGTACTCTATGCAAAGGCATCGATGCTGGCAGGTTAGTTTCACCTTATCTCTGCTAACCTTTTTCCTGTAATTCGCAACTAGTAGTGTTAATAAGAATATTATATGTTTCTAGATGCAAACCGAAGTTCATTGAAACGTTCATGTGGCTTTGGATGCTTCTTCCTGTAGAATATATATGCATTTTAATTAGGATTATCGCATATAAATGCAAACAACGCCTTCATTTATTTCCTGAACTTGCTGTTGCTGCAGAAATACTCATAAATATTATTTTCTGGCATGGGTATTTGTTATCTAGCTCTTTATAAGCCTATGTTATTTTTGTACCTTATTATTTAAAGAATTATTTCTGAAGCTTCTGACAGTAGTAGGCACACCAAACTACTATGTAGTCACAATCCATGTTAATCTGTTGATTTTTCTATAGCCTATAAGTATGCTAATCTGCAAGAGAGTAGGATTCTAGGTTTTTTCTGGCCTTGCTCGGGCCTCCTTTCTTTGGCCTTCTTTTTATACAGCTCTTTGACCTCTCTATGGAATTGTATATAGTGGGGGTCTCCCATGCTGTACTCATGGTTCAAAAAAGAAAGAAAGAAAGAAGAAAGAGAACTTTGGCTAATGAAGAAGGAGAAGGTACGATTGCTGCACTCTCTTTGTATTAGCTTAGTTAATTTGTCTATTACATGTTTAGAGCTTGCTTACGTTCTTGCACCCCTAATATTATCACCTTTTGTCCTGTGTTGATAATCCTAACTTGCTCATCATAAATCATAACCTAATTTGCTCTTGTTAGTTGGTGTGCTGAAAATCTTTATTGCCTTTCTAGCTTTGTATAGTAAATTTAATGCCACTTGCATAATTGGATATTTAGCATCCTGAAGTTTTGTAATAGCAGTCTAGTAGATGCTCTGAGGTGTTATTTGTTGATTATCCATTGTATGCTGATGTATAATGTATATTGAGCCTCTACTCTTCTAAAGGTTTGTGGCAACTGTAGGTGAAGTGCTCGCTTCACTTCTGAGCCAATGGGTACTCAACATTATTTCTCACTGATTCAAGATGTTTCCTTAACTTTTTATCTTTTTGGTTTATACTGACTCTGCGTGTATTTATTTGTTCAAGAGTTTAGAGAGATCTCTATGCTGACAATTGCTCAACATATATTTTTTAGAACTAAACCTGAGACGCCACTTGCCTAAACCTGTCAATTATGTAGTCTCTTCTACTTGCAAATTCAAAATTGTTTTTCCTTGCAACTATCTATCATATCCCACTGAGGCAGATTAGCAGCTTATTTACTTGCAAATTATGCCTTCATCTTAATCTTGCCTAGCATTGTGGTGGTGGGACCCATACTAATAAAATATATGCTTTGGAAAAAGTGAAAAGACCAACTGTTTTTATGAATAATCTATTAAGCTAGTGTCCAAATGACATGGCTTGGCTAAGCCAAGCTTATTGGCCTTGCTCTTAACTTAAGGAATATATCAGGGTTTTTATTTTTCATCTTAGAAGTGCTAAAATGATTGTTGCTAAGACCTAATGAGCTACACAATGCAGTATTCAACTGTCATGTCCTAAAAAAATTATTTGATAATTTGCTTTTATGTGAACTCTCAGCTTATAAATAATGTTTGTCTGGATGTAATCTCAGATGGGAAACTATATTGCAATATATATTATTCTTTATGCAATGAATTCTTTTAATTTCTTGTCAGGAGTCTAGGAGAAGTAGTTTTCTAATGGTAAACTTCTGCTTCTTACCATTTCCTTTTCAGCATGATATTTTGTTTTGGACTGCACACTTCAGAGTTCAGTTACACCCTAAACTCTGATCAAGTGAAACTATTACATTTTTAGCTAGCACTCTCCTTGCATCTTTACTAATTTTCTGCATTGATCATACTCGCAGATTCATAAGTCTTTGTGCTATCTGACATACTCTTTATTTTTGCTTATAAATTATGTAGATTAGCAGTCGTTTACATGCACGATG